CACACACACACACACACCCCCACCCCCACACACACACACACACACACACTCATACACACACTCATACACAAACGCACACATTCTCATCACTAGACAAGGGCAAAGAACTGCTCCCCTGTTTCCAATGACACGTTGTAAAAAGGCCAACTGTGTCCCAGTATGGGAAGACCACTGCTGGCATATGCAACTGTGCACACTGTGGTGGGTGGCCCTGCACAAAAGGCCACTGGCAGGCAAGCACATTGTGGGAGCAAGCATGCGTGCACGCTCAGCACCGTTGTTGGCACCAACAGCCTATATAAACTGGAGTGTGACATAAACAGATTGCTGAGTGGTCTTCGGCTAGTTCCTGTTAACCTGCCAGACCTCTGACCTACCTTTGGATCTTGTCCTTCCATGGCGACCTTGGCCTGTGTTTTGGACTGCTTTCTCCATTCTGATTCGGTACCTTGCTGCCTGTATAACTGATCCTCAGCCTGTATTCTGACACCGTCTCATCCTTATAATTCTCTACCTCACTGCCTGGCTGGTTCTGACCTCAACCTGTATCCTGACACCGTTTCTGCCTTATAATTCTCTACCTCACTGCCTGGCTGGTTCTGACCTCAGCCTGCATCCCGACACCGTCTCAGCCTTATAATTCTCTACCTCACTGCCTGGCTGGTTCTGACCTCAGCCTGTATCCTGACACTGTCTCTGCCTTATAATTCTCTACCTCACTGCCTGGCTGGTTCTGACCTCGGCCTGTATCTTGACTATGTCTCTGCCTTCTTATTTGCTACCCCGTGCCTGGCTGTTCTCCACCAGGTATGTGGCAGTCGTTCCCCTGTTGGCCAGATTCTGCTGAGTGTCTGCCACCAAGGATGTAATGCCATTGAATCAGATGAGTAACTAGCAACAGGATTGCCAACTGTGACATAGGTCTTAGGATCCAACAACATACAGTGCTAAGACATCTCTTATCTGACACATATTGAGTATCACAACACACACACACCAGTGATAGAAAAATAATTTTGGGAATTGTAGCTTTCTACTGCATGCCCTTTAAAAGCTATATGTATTTGGCACATTTTAACCTTTTAGATTGAATAGAAAACTGTTTTGTTTGCATTACAAAATGCAGAATATGCTTTATTGAAAAGATAGATGGAACTGACATCTTTTTATTCTATAGGATCTGGCAGTGCAGCTGCAATATATACCCCTTGGTACAGTCACCACTTCCTGTCACTACTTCACTAACAGGCCAAAGCAGTGAAAGTACGGGTCCTCTGTTGTCACCACTGTGCCATGTAAGAGTGAAGTAGTGGCAGGTAGAAAAGCTTACAGTCTATATGGGTTTAGGGGAGTATACAGAAGGCAGAAGAGCTTGCAATCTCTTAGGATATGAGGAAGATATACAGAGGGCAGAAGAGCATCCAGTCTATTAGGGTATCAGGGAGGGATACAGAAAGTGGAGAAGATTGATATTATTATGGTAGAATGGAGGTATACTGAAGGTAGAAAACATTACTCTCTTTTAGGATGTATAGGGCAGTGATGGCAAACCTTTTTGAATGCCGAAACTGTCGAGATTCTTACTCGTTATGTCATGCCCGGTGACTTGCCAGTAAGAGATTAGGACTATGTGGCACTGGTGTGCATGCGCCAGGCGTGGCAGTTTCAGAATCCTCATCGAGTTGTCCAATTCCCGTCAATACAGCTTCCCAATCCTGGTCGTTGCAAAGTAAAGGCAGCCAATCAGAGAGCATCTTCTGCTAATAAATTTCATATTATGCCATTGGGTGGGCATGCAGGCGCAGTAACGCCAATTGGAGAGCCTAACACTGCTCTTGGGTGGCAGCACAGGCGCACTGACGGGATTTGGAAATTTGTTGGATTTGGATTCCGACAATGCTACGGCTGGCGCATGCGTACTAGCGCCATCTGGTTGAGATCTGCTACTGGCAAGTCCCCGGACGTGATGTAACGAGTTGGAGATCTCGACGAGTTTGCCGTTTCGATAGAACACCGGGGCGAACGGTCGGGCCCGTTTTCAGGGGCGTGAGTTCCAGGCACCCCTATGTTAATCCGGACTTGGGCTTGTGTGCCCGCAGAGAGGGCCCTGTGTGCCCGCTGTGGCACGCGTGTCATAGCTTCACCACTGCTGGTAGAGGGTATATGAAAAAGTGGAAGAATTTACAATATATCAGGAAATATAGGAATTATACAGATAGTGGAAAATTTTACAGCCAATTAGGGTATCAAATAGTCGTTCAGAGAAAGCTATAATTGGGAGTGGAGAGACGCTCTTAGACAACATTATTCGTGATTTGCTAGACATGTGCACTGGCAAAAAATTTGTTTCGTTTTGATTCGGATTTTGTGTTATTTAGTTTTTCGGGATTCGTTTGTGAAAGTCAATTCGGATTCGGAATTCGGACGAAATTCGTTTGAGGTAGTTCATTCGAACATTTGTTTCGTTTTCGTTTCTTATTCGTTTCGTTCATTCGTTGCAGCAAAGTGACATTTGAGGGGGAAACATTTTTTTTTCTCCTTCTCTAATGTCACTTTGCTGCAACGAACGAAAGAACCGATTAAGTAATTAAAACGAAACGAACGTTCGAACGAGCTACCGCTAAGGAATTTCGGAAACAGAAATTCGGATTCGTTTGCCATCGTTATATCTGTAATTCGGAAATTCGGATACATCCGAATGTCCGAAAATTCGTCCGAATTTCCTTTTTATCCGAAACGAATCGCACATGTCTATGATTTGGGAAACAAAAGCAAGACAGAGCGCCTCCATAGTGTAAAAGTTTATTTAAATAGTACAACACGCAACTGAAATTGTACTTACACGAAAGCCAATGATCGCAAGCATAAACCTGAGGTTCTGGAGGTTCTGATGAAGGGGGCGTGCCCCTGAAACGCGTAGACCATTTTAAACTCACGGGAGCAGAGGACGCTGATTTGGTGATCTCCTCAGACTTCCCCTGCTGGAGATTGCGATCATTGGCTTTCGTGTAAGTACAATTTCAGTTGCGTGTTGTACTATTTAAATAAACTTTTACACTATGGAGGCGCTCTGTTTTGCTTTTGTTTCCCAGATCGATGGTCTTTTTTGACCGGTGGGAGCTGCCTCTATGGTGTACTAATGAACTTCACAGCCGGATTTCTCTGCAAACCGGGGGCGCCGGTATTGTCTTTTTCAATGTCTATGATTTGCTAAGGTTTTCTGGCTCAGTTGGATATTGTGTCTTTCTCATACTATATCTACAAGTAGCCATCTACAGTATATACAGTTTAGCTATTAAACCTTTGTCTTTATTTCTGCACACAGAATCTGCACATCTCCAGTATGTACATCAGACAGCTCAACAGAGTGTAACGGGGAGGTGAGTTGAAGACTAGATTGTCAGTGTAACCATGATTACTAAATATACTGTATATATGTATTCATTAATATTATAATATATTACACTTTCTCCACCAAATAAAGAATTCACAATGGTATTAAAACCATAAATCAACACAGGATCCTACAGCCTGTCAGCAGCTAGGGATAATCCAAAATCAAAGAGGAAACAGCAAAGAACCAGGCTCAATGATCGGGGTGTATATTGCACTAACAAGGATCAGATAAAATGTGAGCCTGTCAATCATCCTGTCATGCTTATCAGCTCAGCCAAGCCCCCTCTGGCCATCGGTGCGGCATAAGAAGGGAGGAAGCAAAACCGAACCCAGGGCTAGATAGTAACACAACAGCGCCTCTGCATGGGCGGTGCTTCATCTTCTCCCACTTAAGTGGGTGAGCAGTTCCCAGCAAGCAATGACTGTCACTGCATGGTTCTCTGCTGTTGTACTGTATTAGAAATGAGCATTAAGACACAATAACCATACACACATTTGCTATCATTATTGACTTTGATTGGTACATTTTTTTGCATATGTATTTTTCAGTGCAATATCAGAAAATTATCTGCAAGGGGAGCTCTCCATCAGTTATGTAATGACTTTCTGGTTCTTATGACATTGTCTGTAATTTGCAGTTACCATGAGCCCAGCTCCAAATGTAAAGAGTGCACATTTAGTGCACGTATCCATTTCCGACCCCAGAGTTTTTGTTATTGGTTATTTTTACCTACTACACCACTGTTCCCAGATCTTTACTGAGTGGCCTGCCTGGTTCTGCGCTTTGTGGTCTCCATGCACATCAAGGGAAATCCTTTTCTGTCAGCCTGTTTGAATTGATTTTAAAAAACATGTACTTCTTATTTCAAGAAGTGTTCACTGGTTCGGTGCTAACCTATACACTACCAAACATCAAAAGTGACACATTGCTTCCCTTCTGGTATTGACTTGTTATGGTTCCTTGTCATTAGCTGAGCTGATCTAAGACATTTCTGAGATCTCTACCTTTGGCCATCTACACATTCACTTTACAGTCTTATTTTTATAAATGCCCTCACCGTAGTATGTTTTTCCCCCTACAGGGTCTTAGTCTTTCTGCATCTATCAGTGACACTCAACAGTGGCTCATAAGAAACCGATTCTCCAATTACTGTCGAATGTTTTCTAACTTCACAGGTAAATCGATGTTGCTTTTATTGGATTTGTTATCTTAGGACTAATGAGTGTCCAGTTTTCCCAATGGGTACTCTGAGCACAACATCCCTATACCAGAAATTATAAACTTCGTTGCTGCTGTTCTTTTGTTCTGAAAGACATTTAGACCTGAATGAGAGTGTCTGCAGTCTAGCTGTTAATGTTCTCAGGCACAATGCCCAGTGCCTTGAGAGTGTTAATTATTATATATTAATGTTAATATTTGCAGGTTATAACAATAAATGTGCACAGGTTCTCAGACCCGGGCCATCCCTAGCGATCAGGAACCAATCATTGCGGTTTCTAACCATGTATGACAACCAAGATATGGTGATCGCAAAGGATTTGCTTTCTAACAGACCTGCTAGTTTATGCTGTCAAGGACCTCTGCTGTTGAAGGGCATTATGGTGTTAAAAAATTAATATTTGAACATTTTTGTTTAACATTTTTGTCCATTTGTCAGCTTGAAATAAAAAACATGGTATTTATTACCAAATAAATGCCTTATATGTGCTTAAAACCCAATGCAAAAATTGTTTAGCTAAGCAAATTGGTTCCCAAGTTAACTGATTCATACGGGGCTCACTAAGTCATTACTAATAAAATTCTCCCAGGCACCAATATTAGGGATGTACCGATACCAAGTACCGTACTCGGTACAAGCACAGATACTTTTCAAGCTCCAAGACTAGACTAGAGAAAAACTCAAAAGTTAGGAGGCAGCTGTCATTTGTAAGGAGCACACGGAGCCCCCTGGGATTTGTACATCTCTGTTTTAATGTATGATTTTATTTGTATAAATACATATATATAAGTGATGCACCGATACCATTTTTGCAAGTACAAGTACTGATACATTTTTGTTTATTGTCATGTGACAGTTTTTTTAAAATAATACAGACTAACGATTTCAGGACAGTGATGGAGCACCAGAGTTAGGTCCCAGCTGCAACCGCTGCAACCCTGGTAGTTCTCATGAAAATGCCAAGTATCGGCACTGGTATCTGAAAAGTATCGGTGCATCCCTAACCAATATAATTATACCCGTTTTTAAAGTTTGAATGTGATTGGTGATGCAGAAAGTTACACAGCACAGGCGTCAGGAACTGCACACTAAGTAAGCTGTATAATAATTAATTGCAGTGGATTACAGAGAACTAGATTGAGTGAATTTGTTGATTTCGGCACCGCTCCAGTGCTTGCTGGATAATATTAGTAACGTAGGGATTGCTTTTACTGGTTACCTGGAATTGTTCTTTAATAACAATGTTGATAACTCAATCCCTAGGGGCAGATCTCTTGAAATTATCCCGGAGGGATCTCACTCAGATATGTGGAGTAGCTGATGGCATCCGTCTGTCTCATGCACTGACAGAAAGGTGGGTAGACCTGGAGCTGAGCAAGACTAGACAGGCTCAAGCAATGCTGATGTTAAAGGAAACATTGTCACCAAGAAAGTGAATGTAATCTCTCTAATGGGGCCCTAAAAACCAATACAAAAATCAGAAAGAGATTCTAATCCTGGACATACACCACTATAGTGGCATCATTGAGCTGGCTTTAGCCTTACTACTGGCTAAGGCAAATAGGTTGATTTATCTCCAATGCCTTTTAAAATGAATGTGAATTTCCACTTCTGCAGACAAATTGTATAACACCTACTTTATATTTGTTACACGTTCCAATTCACATAGCATAACATTAAGAAGAACTCTGGGATTTTTAAAAATTCACCCCCCTAGTGAGCTCTTAACCCTTAGGTCCCGTTCACATTGAGCGGTTCGCAAATCGCACGTTTGTCGCGCGATTTGCATTTTGTGCGATATCGCGCAAATGCTTGCATTGAGCAAGCTTGAATCGCGGCTAAATCCGCTCCAAAAAGGGTCCTGCTGTAGCGACGCACGTCCCGCGACAGCAGGACCCTTTGCCCCCATTGAGAAGCATTGGAGAGCGATATCGCGCTGTAAATTGCCGCGATATCGTGGGAATTAACGTGCGATAAATCACTCAATGTGAACGGGGCCTTACAGTACAAGGGTAGCCCCACTGCAAACGTAAAGTACTCATTTTCTCTAGAGGAGAAAATAAAGAAGTAATACTCGCCCAATCCTCGGTCCCCCCTGGTTGCTTCTTCTCCCCCAAGTTCCAATGACCTAAGGACCCCTGACATCATCATGTTTAATACAGGTCCATTAGATGTGAGGACGCTGAGGAGGTAGCCCCACTTCAAGAGTTATTTTTTTTTAATTCTGGAGTTCTTAAAAAAAATAATTAAATTGCTGCTTATCTTTTTACTTGCTTTAAAATCCTACATAGCATTCCACTTCAGAGTAATGTTAAGGAAAAGTGTTTGGGGGTGATGTTTACCATAATTAACCTTGTTTGTACTGTGCTGCAGATCCCATTATCAGATGTAAACTAGATTTGAACACTGTCTGACTCCTAACAAAGGGTTAAAGATTTCAAGGCTTAAGCAATACATTGTATGTTAATGCACTTTGCCTCAGTTTGTCCCTTTTAATTGCACTTTGAAATTGCAGTAACAGACTGTAGCCACTGCTGTGCTGTGTTTGAAACTTCTGAACAGTTTGTGAACCCTGAGAAGTACAGTGTACCATTAACATTACTTTGTATTTACTCATTCATATGCAGATGAAAGAGGTGTCCTATAGAACAAAATGTATAGTTTTTATCTACATTAACATTAGGGGATCTATATACTGGATAAACAATTTGCAGGGCAAAGAGCCATGAACGTTGGTTTTAGGTGAATATTGCCAAAACAAATGTTCTTAAAATGTTCTTCTAACTAAATACTTATTTCCTTTGCTCCTCAGATCCATCTAGTGGCTAGAATCTATTATTACAACACACTACATTTAAACTGAGTAAAATATATTAAAAACATAATTTTTTTGGCATAAGTATTCACTTTCTATTCTCCTCAGCTCCATCTAGTGGACATAATGTTATATTGCAATGCACTACATTTGAACTGGAAAAAATATATTTAAAAGAATAGTTTTTGACATTTTTCAGCCCCCCCCAAAAAAAAAAAAGATATTCCCAGGACAAAGGTCCCTGTGAATTGTTTATAAGTAGACCCCCTAGCTGTTTTAAAACTAACACTGGTCAAAATAGAAAATATGCATCTTTTTTTGTCTTCAAATTGCATAGGGGAAAAAATTATTACCGCCAGACAGTGTTGTCAAAAGAAAGGCTTGTCTAAGTATTACTTATTTATTTTAAATAATGCCAAATCAATAGATCCAAAGCAGAAATTTTAAATTAGCTCTGGTCCATAAATAAGGGGTGTACAGGTATGGCAGCTGAAGTGGTTAAGCCCCCCCCCACCCATGCAGGTTACATGGCACAAGCACATAAATGAGAAACTAAGAAGTAGAAGTGACACTTATAACCCCATATTACAATGTGTTCAACTACTAGCATGAGGCTGGCGTGGGCTGTTAGGTCTGTGGCTGTGGACGGGGGGCCATAAGTTGGTCTACATCCTACGCAGAGGGGTGAAAGGTGGTCTAGGAATCCGACTGGAAGCCAGAGTATAAGGAAAGGATGGACACCGGCACTCCAAAGCAAGTTCAGTACGTGTTTATTAACGTACTAGTTGCAAGTAGAACACTCTAAACAACGTTTCGGGGTCTCACAAGATCCCCTTCATCAGGCAAACAAGTGATGGAAGGCAGAGTAGAGACACTGCTGAATTTCAGTTATCCCAACTCTGTTTAAATTTTATATAGAAAATATAGTATAATATATATTTTGCATCTTCATCTTGGGTACTATAATACCTTGTTGGCACTATCCGCGTCTGAACTAGCTAAGACAGTTCAATAAGCCATTTTGTCAGATTTAGAATCGCTGGCTAAGGCAGATAAATTAAATAATAACATTGGATATACAGCACTTCTAATCACAAAGTGCTGAGCCTATCCAGATGCTTCTAGGAAAATTGATGGCATTAGGCTTCCTTCCACAAGTTTACAAGAAACAATCTGTCATAAGAATCTGTTTTATGGCTCCCTCCACTCCAGCTTTTTCTTCCTATTTGCTAAGCTGAGATGTATACACTAGCAAGTTGAAAGGAGAAAACATGTAGTCAATAAAAGTAGCAAAAAAGTATATGCAGTATATCACTCATTGAGGAACACAGCACTGTATATTGTCACTTACAGGGAGATTGAAAACTAGGTTGTAAAAACAAATCAAAGGGCCAAATGTGGTATCCTAAAAAGGAAGAATGTTTTTCTTCAGTGCTGCTGGATCAAGATCCGTATGTGCAGGGCCGGCCTTAGGGGTGTGCGAGCCGTGCGGCCGCACAGGGCGCCATGGCAACAAGGGCGCCGTGCGGCCGTCACAGCTCATCCTGTGGGCGGCTTCTCTCCCCCTCTCCGCTGGCCATCCGACATGACAGCGCTCCCTCATTTTTATTTTTACTTTTCTAGATGCACTTACTTGAAAAAAGGGATCTGCATGACATCCTGACACTTTATTTTTATAGACTCTATTGTAGTTTGACATTTATTGTTTGCCTTCTGTTGTTTTATTTGATAAGAATACTTCTATTGTGCCGACAAGTTTAATACCTTTGAATAAAAGTTTTATTTTTATCACACTTTTTAATATGTTTCTTTGCGGCTTAACAAAATAGGAGTCTTTAAATGGTGCGGATATTGGGGAAAATGGGTGTGGGTACGGGGGTGTGGCCACTAAAGGGTGTGGCCACTGAGGGGCGCTGTAAAGCTTTCTCGCACAGGGCGCCTAAAGGCCTAAGGCCTGCCCTGCGTATGTGAAACTTCCTCAAGCAGCTGCTAGTCGTTTTAGGCTGGTTATCTCAAATCCTGGCAATCTTTTCAGTCAACCAATGAGTGATGGTCTGAAAATCAGGTATTCCACTGCAATGGCCTGGCACCTGAAGATTACAGCTGCATGCCTGGACAGTGCTTGCACTACACGGGTTTATGTATATGGTAAACTAAAGAGCCAAAATCTCTACTAAAGCGCTGGATTTCGTCTAAGCCATGTTGTGCCTTTGGGATATCTCCATTGTGGAGAAGCTTTGCGGCCTACTGCTCCGAGCTTCACATCTGGAAGTGAAAAGAGAAAACTCAGGATGAGGACCTTGGAGAGATTTAGCTGAATTCTTAATTGCAAAAAGTCCTCTCTAAACATATCTCCTCACCTGGAATATTTGGGAGTGATCCTTGAAACAAGGTCAACAAGAGTCTTTCTTCCCCAGGCAAAGCTTCTGAAGTTGTAAGCTCAGGTTGAGGAACTTCATACTCGGCACTTGTCTGCACTTTGTTGTTGTATGATGGTTTTGAGCCCTATGGTACCTTTCTTCGAAGTGATCCCTTTTGCACAGCATCAGACCCTCTTTCAAAGAGAGATTATCTGCAAATGGGACAAATTGCCTTTTTTCCTGGAAAGGTTCAGCTCTCAAGCAAAGGCATTGCTACAGTGTTAGTTCACAACACTGATACTGTCATTAGTGGAAATCTTTTCTTCCCCTGCAATGAAAGATTGTAGCTATGGATGGAACTCTCTCCACATGGGGCAGAGTGTTAGACCTTAGAAGCCCATGGGATCAGTACGGCTTCGCAATGTGTTCTCCCTCTGAGGCTTCTGCCATGGGCCATTAAGCTTTATGGCATCCATGTTATTCTTATAGCTCCAGATTTTCGCAGGAGGGCATGGTACATGGATCTGGCTCATCTTCTTACCTGCTGGATGGTCCAAACCTGTTCTTGCAAGTCCCCTTTTCCAAGGGTTCTATGGCATCCCCTGTGACCATTTTTAGATAAATCTATAAAACCAGATCTCAGGCCTATACTCCAAAGCACCGGAATCCTCCCTGCCATGTCATTGCTCATTGCATCTGGGTAATAAGTGCTTTTTCGGCTGTCCATCGTTAGATTTCTGTGTCCCAAATTTTCAAGTCAAGCAACTTGGTCTTCCGTCCAACAATGCATTTTATAAGGTGGATGCGGCTGCATTAGCAGGTTACTGCGTTTTGCAGTGGGGGC